TTGATTGTGATTTTGATATGACGTGAGTACGAGAGAGGTTTAAGATATTAAAAAAATAAAAAAGTGATAGGTAAGGAGAACGAAAAAAAAGACAATTACAGATAAAATATTTTAATGATCAAAGAGATGTGTATAAAGTGAAAACACCTCAAGTTCATGTTATCATACAGCCAACACATTCTACCGTACTGCCTGGTTTCATCAAATTTATGACACCAATTAAAAAAGTAAGTCATTGTTCCAACTTTTAAATAATTATATGTATTCATGAGTTAACATTGTACTCATTTATTAAGTTTAAATCTTAAAAATTTAAAGTTAAATTTAGATGAATTCAAGTGATATAGCAAAGTTTGTCACGCTTTCGATGGAAATTGAAAAAGATATCATATCACCAAATATTGATAAAGTACTCTGCTTCCCGAATCAACAAGTGATACTTATGAATACTATATTAGGTTAGTGATATTGAAATTTAAATTTTTCCAAATATAATAGTTAATAAAAGGAATGTTAAGGATAACAATAACAAGGAAAAAAAAATCACTTTTATTTTACATGATAATAATATCAAAATTTTATTGATATAATAATCATGTGATATTTTTTTGGAATCAGTGAAATCAAATATTGACAAAATAAATTTCTGGAATCAGTGAAAGAAAATACCATATCATTAAATATTGATAAGGTGAATTGAACACAATAAAAACTATCAAAGTTTATTTCATTCTTTAAGATGTAATTGCTTATCGCAGTTTTATCAAATTTTTAATTTTTGAATTCTTATAAAAACTACAAGTTTGTAATAGTGAAATTATATCAATATGAGAGCTATCAATGCTTATCTCTTTCTTTCAAGGTAATTATCATTCCTTTACGATGTATGCAGTGAATTTGAGTGAAGCCGTAAATACGGGAAATTTAATTAATGAATTGAATGAGAAGGACGGGAAGAAGAACAATGATCGCGGTGGTATGACGCAAATGATCGCTAAAGAATTGCTGAATCCGATCCGTTGTGATTTAATGTTTCATGGCATAATCAATATTAATTAATGTATAATTTTATTATACGATTATAGCTGCCATTTTCGGATCTTATTCACTGAGCAAAAATAAAAATAAAAATCAAAAAAATAATAAAAATATATGTTGCATACAAGAATATAAAGCAACTAAAGCATAAAAGATAAAATTAAATTTAAATTTAAATTTCAGAAAAATTATCCGTATTGAAATTCAATTTCTTCATAAAGCAAAAAATAATTCAGATAAATGTCAAAATCACACTTTTAACTGCTATTTAATAATAAATTATTGCAAGAAATTTTAATGATAAACGGAAAAGTTAAAATGTTTTGAATATCATAAAATTTTTGAATCTACATGAAGCCGAACAATGTTTTTCAAAAAAAAATTGAAAGAAGATACAAGTTTTATTTCAAAAAAAAATTAAAAGAAAAAGCACAATGAATTAAAATATTTCACACACAAACATAGAAAAAGTAATTGAAAATAACAGTAATATTAATATCACCAAAGTCTTTCGTTTAAAAAAAAGTATATCAGAAACACAAAAATTAGGGAAAGTAATTGAATTTAAATTCAACTATCGAAACTATCAAATTAATTTAAATTCAACTATCGAATTAAATTCTACTACTAAAATTGAAGCCAAGGAATTCAAAATCTTGAATATTTCATGCTATCACAAAATATTTATTTATCGTTTTTTTGTAAACATATGGAAGCTATCACTTTTACTTATAAATCATGATAAAGTATTACATCTCAAACGAAAATTTAAATGAAAATATGGAAGACTAGATGAAATGATCGTCTCATTTATATATTTGTGTGTGTTTCTCTTTTTAGAAATTTCTATCTTCATAATAAAATTCACCTTCTAAACTAATCTCGAAACCAATGTAATCAAATAGCGCCATAAAGCTATATATCATTTCAAACAAGTGAACAAATATTATAAAACTAAATAATTTATTTGAAATTTGCAAAAAACAATTAAAAAATTTTATGAAACCAAAATGAGGGCATTATTTCGAATTACATTGGCAAAAAGACAATAGAGAGAAAAAAAAGAAATTACATCATTTATTATTTACACACACACGCACACAAATTTTCAGAATTAAATATTATTTTCAAAAAAAAAGAAGCATAAACTATAAGGGATTCTTGAGTGTTGTGGCTAAATTCAACCCCGTTACCATTGCCGCTGAATCGCTAACATTCTGGAAGGGATTCTGCGGAATAGTCGTAGCACCGGTACCGCCACCTAATGCAAACAGTACACCCTGATACATGGTACCATTAATTTCCATCGATACTACCAGT